CTAGAGACCACTTTTTTTTTTTTTTCCCTAAGTGGTGCTGGGAGGTTAACTTTGAAACACAAGGGTGATCTGGCCTCCAGGGCCCAGAAAACAGCCTCAGAAGACCTCAGCTTGAAAAAGCTCAGGCATACCTGATCTATCACGAGCTAAATATATCAGTTTAGGTCCAGCTGATTTACACAGTACTTGATATGCTTAGATTCAGTGAACATAACAAAATCTGTTAGTCAGAGCCTTGGACTGCCTCAAAAGGCTTGAGATGACAAGGCCAGGTCTCTGCTGCACAGGGCAGTGGGGTGCTGAGGGCTCCCTTAGCTGGAGCTGGGCTAGTGTCTTCCTTCCCAGCAGCCTCTGATGCCCTCAGAAGAACCTGGGGCAGAAATGCAAGGTGCTTCTCCAGCACCGAATAACCAGCTACTTTTTTGGTGATTTTTCCCCAGAGGAACCCACATCCGAGGAGTCACGGGTCTGTCCACTGCATGCTCCTACCTGGTTAGAAAGGGACTCTCTCTCGCTCCTTGCATTTATAAAAACAGCTATACCATCCAGCCATCACCCCTGTATAAGGACTCCTAGATAAGCCATTTGATTTTCAGCAGCACTAAGTCTTCATGAGTTTTCACAAAAGCTGAAAACTGAGTGACCAAGGATTAGGAGACAGACTCAGGTACTTATTTCTGACCACCCACGTCTCCCATCTATAGCCCTATCTCTTCTTTTTGGCTAGAGTGATTTCTCATTTCGAAGGCTTGGGAGTATGGGCTCTGCTCCATACCTTTCAGCAAGTGTGTGGCACTCCTTGTGCACAAGATGGTGATGAACTGTATCTCATCAGTGCCCTTTATCTTCTCCCCAGCAGCATAGAGAGTCTGTAATTTAACATGTAATTGTTAGAGAGATGTTCTGTGTGTGCAGCTGGTAAAGGAACAGTTTGGCTTAAGGCACTGCTAGGGTAAAGGGGTTTGAAGTAACCTAAAACACTGCGTGAACTAGACTCTCCTAGAATGGTTGATTATGAAAACCCTTGACCGTGTCTTCTAGTCAAACTGGAGCAGTCACTAGCTCCACCCTTTCCAGCCCTCCTGCAGCAGCTGGAGCAGCCAACAATACTCTTGAGGTTTCTTCTCTATTCTTTGCTGTCCCACTCCACCATACCCATATACTTTCATGTATCAAAAGCAGCTGAGCCCAAGCCCAGCTCTCATCACTCGTCTTTGGAAGAGCAAGGCTCAGCAGTGCAGGCAAAACTGAAGAACCCCAAGTTGCTTCCGCTTGAAGACCACCCCTCCCCAAACTATTGTGGCTCCAACCCTCTGCTGGCCAGGACTCTACTGCCCACTGAAGCACTCTGAAGTTCAAGACTGGTGGGATGCAGGCGTATCACTGATCACAGGCATTTGATAGTACCTCTGCATCCTGGAGAGCCAGTGCTGTGTCCACGTAGAGAGTGGCATTGTCCCTCTCACCCTGTGAGAAAAAAAAAAGGAAGGTAACCATTTTGTCTCATGAAGATTCTTCCATATGTAAGGATCACAGCATACATTCTGGACAAAGATCAATTATCCTTCTCAGCTATCTACTTCTGCAGAGTACTCAAGCAGTAATGTTTCAGACAGCACAAGTGCTAACTCCTTCACTGAAAGGCACTGAAATCAATCATATGAAGCAGAGCCAAAAAATTGCTGTTATTCTGCTGCTAGGCAGGAAAATTCGGAAAACATGGTAGGATAAATGCATCTGAATGCACTCAGCATTGAGGGGACAGACCCTGGAAGAGTGGTGAATCATAGTTGAGGGGCACTGTTTTCCAAGACCCTTGTAGAGTGCAACGGCTTTACGCATATGTAAGAGTGAGGCGTCTCCCTGCAGCAGAGCTGACTGTAAGTTCCAGCCCTCTTACTGCTGCTAAGGGAGGGGGTTTCCCTGCTTCAGTCACATTGAAGGTGAAACACAGATCCAGTCCAAGTGACGTGTTTGTCTCTGCAGTGTATCTGGTGATCATGACTGTATTGCCTATTCTATTGCATGCCTTCTCCAAAAAGGAAGAGAAAAACGTGAAGATCTTTAAACCCTCATTTCTTTTCTCTAGCATTACCTGAAGAAGGCAAACCAGAATCTGTTCAAAGTAGCCACTTGTTTCCGATTTTATGTCTTCTTCCAGATCAGAACCGTATTCTACCCAAGGGAAAGAGAAGGACAAGGGAAGGATTTGTTATTTGGGTGTTATAGTCAGGATATTATCAGTCACCCAAAGACACACAATAGCCTGACACTAGTCAAGAAGTTTGCTAGGGAAAAAAACCAGGGCTGAGATCAACTCACACCCTCAGTGATACCCAGGTTGGCATTCGCATCCAACTGAGTCACTAATTCCACTGATGTCCAAGGCATAAACACATACTATATCTCTAACGTTACCTCTAAGGAACCAGAGAGATACCAACTATTTACAAATACACATTTGATAAATTCCCATCTAGAGTGTATTTAATGGGGAGAAAAAGCCAAGTGCATAGCTATAGTTTTGTTTGTGTTCTGACAATAGCCTGTGTGGCCAAGCTGAACCAAATTTGTGATTTGCTGACTTTTTCCTCTAGCTGGATGGAGAGTTAGAAAGGGATTTTCAAATTCTCTCAGCATAGCCATGTTCTGTTTGCCAGGCTGAAAGCAGAGTTAGGTTGCACCTTCTTGCTTTTAAAAATCCCATTTTCCTGCTGACAGTGCTAGTTGGTAACACCATTCCTGCTGTGCAGTCAGGCAGTCACACATTGCTCTGACCACACAAATCAGAGCCCCAGGCACTTTACCTTCTTTGTACGCCTTGATTATCTCTTTGATCTGCGCTTTTGTCCGGGATGCCAGGATCTCTATGATAACACCTTCACTTGTTCCTACGCCCTTTAATAGAAAACACAGTGGAGAAATAAAGGTGGAGAAAGGCATCTAGTCATGGAGTGTGATTTATTGCTAGAGAAGTATGGTCAAGTGAGGAGTCAGAATGCAGCAAAATGTTAGGCTGTATGCTGAGCTATGAGAAACTGTCAGGATGAAACCTGGAGACACAAAGCACATTTGGTTTGAATACGGTTTCTTTTACTGAGGTGTCTAATTCATAAAGGATGATTTTATATAATCCTGCACTTCTGCAATGCATTTCTGGATCTGGATCTTAGTGTAAAGAGGGATGTGGGGAGACCAATGCTTGGCTAGTCAGTCCATCTTTGTACCATCTTAATAGACCTCTCTGCATCTGAAACTTGAAAAGATACTGTATCAATAGGTAGGATCCCAGCCAACCCCAGCATGGCCCTCGCACCACCACTCCTTGATTTCTTAAAGGTTTCATGTCTCAGGTGGGGGCATCAGGGCAGTAGCTTTGTGTCATTGAGCTCCATTCACCAGAGGCACTGCAGAAAGCAGCAAAGAGATGTTTAACTGAAAACCGTCATCTGTGAACGTTCATTTCTTGCCAAAGCTGAGTTTAGTCTTGCTCTTGCCTTCCCCAGGCTCTGTGAGACGTGTATGTACAGAAACTCTCATACACCCCTAAATATTAAAGCATATAATGAAGATATAAATATTTTCCCCCAGATATGCATTAATAGCACAATTAACTATTTCTCAAAAGCTACTGCTAATAACAAACTTAGTCATGCAACAGTCCAGCTACTATAATTTGTGTTAATAAGCACAGTTACAGGAAATTAACACTGGATCCATGCTGCTCCTTAAACATCAGCATGCAATTCGCTTACCTTCATGGCATCATGGAGCTCCTTGGCATCATATTTGAACGGGGAGTACATGAGAGCTACAATGAGCCTCTCAAAGTCGCCACTCAGTTCAGACTTCAGGCTTTCAATCAGATCCTGTTAAACACGCACCACACAGTTACATAAAAAGCCTCAGAGGATCTCTTTACTGCCTAGTGCTGTTTCCATCCCCACCGCCTACAGCAATGAAGCGGAATGACAGTATTGTATTGACAGTTTATTAGAAAAGGTCCCGGGACTGAAAAAGGCACCTAACTCCAAAATGGGATTTGTCTAGATCCTTCCACGTTCCCTGTTGTCCCATTACTCAAGCTTCTCCCAGGTACTAATTAATTCTGCAGCAAAGTAGGGAAGATAAAAATCTTCCTCCACCCTGCTTTACTCAGCGAGCAGAACCAGGCAGCTGAAGGCCTTGAATTGAGCAAGGGATGTAGCTTCAGACAGGGCCAATTCCCAAAGCCTGCATATAAACATGCACCCAGGACTTTTGCAGAATCAGGCATGCAGTCTGTTTGAAGATAGACTTCAAACTTCCCTTTCACTATAATGCAGGTTTTTTCGGCTATGACTCACCCTGTTTTAGTGGGATGCAAACACTCTATTCATTGTCCCATACTTCCCCCCCATTTGCTTCCCTTTCTTAGGCCCTTGCATGGCAGTCCCTCTTCCAGCAAGGGTCATCGGAGACTCCTGTTTCTATGCTGACCCAAGAGCCTACATTGCTCTTTCCCAACACATTTCCTTCTTTCCCCCTCTAACTGTGACTCTCAGACAACTAGCTCCAGAGTACAGCTGGTGGAAGAGTTTGCTGGTGGAAGAGTTTTCCCAATAAAAGTAAGATTTTTATCAAAGAGAGAAGGATAGACACAGAAAAACATGGGTGTGGATAACCACAGTTTGTTTTCACTTTCAGAATTTCCAAACAAATGTAATGAAATAAACCTTCAAATTGAACTTTCTTTGGCATTTAAAAGGGCCCCAAACCAAACCAATATTTTACTCAAAATGCCACTTAGAAAGGTATGAATTTTTGATTTGATAAAAATTACATTTTAAGTTAAAATAGATTTTTTAAAAATATTTCCTGTCAAAATGCATTTTACCAAAAAAATTACAATCTTTGGGGGGGAACACCAGTTTTTCCAATGAAAATTTAGTTTCACACATTCACCCCAGGTCTTATAAATAAATATTGATCTACTCATTTGCAGAAGACCTGCATATAGTTTACACCACACTTGCAGGATGAACTGTACACCCATTTACTACATCCTGCATGCAGCGAAACAGTGACTGAATATGGCTTTGTTTTGGAAGAACCTTTCCAAACTGTCCTTTGAAGGATTTGGCAATCTGTTGACGCTGCATATTGCTCCTCTTGGTTAGGACATCAATTATAGCTTGTTCATCAGTCCCTGTGGAGAGCAACAATAAACCATAAACACAGTGCACAAAATAAGTTGAGACTAGTCCAAAATCCCATTTTAAGTATTTAGACAACCTTCCCTAGCTTATTGCCTTCATAATGTAGAATTTTAAGTATGTATTGAGGAAACTTTAATTTTTAATTTTCCACATTAAAAAATGTTATCTTTGGCTGCAATTTTCTTAAGGAGTGGCTTTCAACTGGGCAATTATAAGCAGAACATAGAATTTACGCATGTGGTTGGAGTCAACTCACCAAGCCCTTTCATGGCCTTGTACAGAGTCTGAGCATCAGGTGTGGGGTCAAAGTTTAAAGCACCTGTCACGGACTTGCCCTCTGCTTCACTCTGAAAGAAGAAGAAAAATATGGGACTTTTCACCACTGCTTTTCATCAGCTGAAGAAAAAGTATTTTGGAAAGTGAATTGGTATTACTCATTGCCTACGCATGGGGAAGGCACAGAAGAGTGGAGGGGTTCGTTCAAAGTGTCTCAGCAGAGCTCCGAAGAGAACACAAGTTTCCTGCCTCCAGCTGCCTCTACCAGCCTTCAGCTCCTGGCACAAACATGAAGTGCAAAGCATGACTGACACTGCTGCAACAGTCATTAGGTGCAGGCAGTCTGGTAGAAAGAGCTGAGTAGGCTAGACTTTCTTATTCACCCGTTAAATACAACACTTCATAACATGTATACTGCTATTAGGAACTGCATTTCTTGGTGGTTTGGTGCAGGGTAGTTTTTACCCATAGTTTTTAGATTTCATGGAATAGTCATCTCTCACAGACCATTTTTCTAGGTAGCAACTTTATTCTCCTGCTGCTGCTTCACTTGTGCACAGCCGATTTCAAGAAGGAAGTATCTCCGCTGGAAGGATTTGGGCCAAGAGACTACTTTGAAGGAAGACATCCATCTGGAGAAGTGCAGGTTTGATGTTCTCCCCTGAACCAAGGGCCAACTGCACAGGAATCCTCCAGACAGACCCCTAAGGCACTGCCAGTGCTAGAGTCCCAGGACAGAAAGACACACCGACACTTATTCCAGTCACCACAAGGTAGTGGGGCCATCAACCAGAACCCAGGCTTAAGAGCTTGAATTTAACAAAAGCTGTTAGTCAAGGGACTGGCTTGAATATATTGATGCATCTCTAACAATAAGGTCCTATCAACAGGGGAGTACATGAGTGGTTATTCATAGAGAGTCATAACCACTTTATTCCAATAATGGACAGAATTTTCTCTTCCTTAGCAGCAGAGAGATTTAAGTTGCCCCAGGAAACTACTATGTTCCCATAAATTTACTTGCAGGGATATGGTTAATATCGAACTAATGATATCAGTATGACTTGACGGATTTTTCAATGGGGGTGGCCTCAGAGTCAGATAAAAAGCACCTTCAAATCAGAGCTTACAGACCCAAAAGAATTGCTATGGTTATCCCATCTGACTTGCATAACACAGACCACCAGGTGCCACCCAGCAGCCTCCTGCTATGGTGCAAATCCCTTCTGCTCTTATCTCCTGTGCTAAAGAGGGCTCTACCCCTCTTCTAGAGTCTCATCGAAGTCCTCCCCAGAGAAAAAGCCTTCAAGCAATCCTTGCCAGGTAGAAAAGCTTGTGGAAATTCCCTTCAGGACCTGCATTCCTGGTTTTTAATGAGAGGCTGGAAGGTTAACGGCTGCGTGCTCAGGAGTGCCTGTCAACAAATGCCAGGTCTAGCCTAGCACCACAGCTGAAGCATACCCACACTGTGCTGCACAGATGCTCAGGCTGGCTCTGAGCAAACCAGCTCAGGTGTCCTTGTTGAGTTCTTCACCGGTAGATGTAGCTGGCACACGTTTGCATGCTGGCCCCTTTGCCAGCCAAGCTCTGGGCTTGGCAAGCAAGCAAGAGGCAATGATGAGTAGCAAGAGAGGCAGTATGTTCATCAGTCAGGAAGATCTGGAAGAGGTCTTCAGTTTGCAGAAGTTTGCTTTACAGCCAGCACAGAGACAGACTCTTGTGCTACCATACCCTGCTCCCAGCAGAGAGAGCAGCTGCAGAGTGGACAGCGTCAACAGAAAGCTACATCTAGTAAGAAGTTTCAAGTCCCAATGACCACTGAGCAGCAAATTTAGGGCTGTGGTGAAGCTGTCACTGCAGAAAGAGCAATGACAGACTAAAGCATTGCCACCCCCAAAGGTTTGTCACCGGTCTGGAACAGGAGGTTTGGCTGAGCTGGTAGGACCATTGCAAGCGCTCCTTTTCTGCACCCTTTGAAGTCAGCCAGCACCATCACAACTGCCCTGGAAAGCAGGTTACGCTCAACCATCTGATTTTGCTCTGAGAAAGATGGACACTCCTCTCTACCAGCATACAAGGGCTCATGTGAAAGAAACACTCTGGACCTGTGCCTGGTGACTCAGGGAAAGAGGGAGTACAAAGCTGAGCTTTCATTTGGAGGCAGCAGAAACAACTTAAACAATAGTCTTTTTTTGGTACTAATTCCAATAAACGTTTACAGCCCATCCTGGCTCAAGTAGCACGCTCATGACTCACTCATACACTTCATTCTCCGTGTATTTAATTGTTCCAGCACAGGTACAATCACAACAGGTTTCCAGAGTAACCCTGTTCAGTTTGGTCTTGTTTCCCAGATTGATCCTACAATTACCTAACTGAAACTACTCAAGGCATCTGTGTAACGCCTATGTGAAGACGAATAATTGGCACAAAAGCAATGGAATCAGTGTACCTTACAGCTGATGCTCTGAAAAGTTTTACCTATAAATGAAGGGGAAGGGAATTAAAAGTTTTCCTACCAAAATATTTTCAAACCTAAACAGTAGTTTATTGAAAAGCTGGAATTTGGGGACAGGTAGGGTTACTGGTTTTTTTCAGTGGAATGTTTAAAAAAAAAATTTCACATTTTTTTCATTCTATTTGCTTTTGAACTCCATTTTTACGAAGGGTTTGGAAAACTAAAACAATTTTCTACCATCCTTCTTTTGCCCTCTCATCTTCTCTTCATGCCTCCACCACCTACAACACCAACAGGTAAGAGATTGCTAGAGCTTTCAAGGGCCTTTCTCCTTCTCCTTTTCTCACTCTAAGTTCTCAAAAGATTTCCAGCTTGGGGGCATGGGGTGGAACAGATCAGCAGAAAGGGAAAAATTAAAGTCAGAGCTACTCCAAGCTTTGGAAAAAGTCCGTTTTACTGTACTAAACTTCCAAAAGGAAATAGGGAGGCAGAGGGAGGTCAGCAGAAAGGAAGGTCACAATTTTAATCTTTCTGGGGGGAAAAGAAAAAAAGTCATGATACGTTTTGAGATCAGGGAAGTTGCCTATCTGAAGTTTGTCTGAAGGAAAGCAGGAATCAGCTCAGTATTCCCCAACCCCCAAGGTGTTTTGTTTCTCCGGTTCCCACCCCTCTGTTGCAAAATCATAACCGAGAACCTGAAAAATGGTCATGTTCATGCAAAGTGGTTTCTCACTCCCTGATGATGTATTGCACCTGAGGTAACACAATACACTGCAAGACAGCTCTCCTACACTTCCCAAGCACCTTTGCCGGCACGTGGCAGCAGAAGCCCCTTTAAGGCCCCCTGCTCAGGTCACCCCTTGCACAGGCTGCTGAAACATGAAGCCTTCTTCACAACCAGGCAGAAGGGGAACACAAATCTTTCCAAAGACGACATGAAAGGAGCCAAGAGAAAGCCTGTGCGCTACTAGCAGTGGAGGTGGGCAAGGGACTGGGCTGGGAAAGAGGACTTCTCTACCAGTATTCCTCCATCACATGTCTCCAGCAGGTCTCTTCTAGGCCTTGGCTTATAGGCATCTGGAGGTAAAGTCCGGGGGTACACCTGGCCTTCCACATAGGCTCATGGGAGAGCTGCCATCGATGGCAACAGAGCTATGCACGTCACCAGAGCTGCCCCCTGCCTGGCCTGAGCCGTACCCTGGAGGCTGCCTCAGCACACCCCACGAGCATCCCCCCCATCCTGCCACATTCCTCCCAAAGCCACAAAAGTTTAAGAGAGACATACACAGTGTTTCTGGCTCCTAGCAGATAGACAGGGTGTCTAAGCCCACATCATCGTTGCAATATTAAAAACCCCGAAGGAAAAAGACACTGCGGCTTGACCACATCTCCTTCCATGACCACAGTCTGCCAGCACAACTTGGGAACAAAACGGGGACAGGCCAGTGCCCTGCACTCACTGCCACAAGAGAGGGGAGCAGATGAAGAGCCTGCAGCTTTCAGACCTAATGCAGACCCCAGCTGTGTTACTTTGCTGCTCCCCAATACTGTCTCCCCATGTACAAAGGCACACAAACACCCCCTGCACTCAACTGAAGGACCAGGGAGAGTCTGCTTTTCTTCTTAAAGCCAGCAATCACATTAACACCTTCCTTAATCAAGGTTTTGGAAGTGCTAAAAGCTATTTTATAGTTAGAAAAATCAGTAAATAGGTCTGGCTGTTTTTTAAAGGGAAACATTTCATTCCCACACAGTGCCTGATGCAACTTATAAGTCAAGGTGTCTTACTTTAGTATTTCCTCTACTTACCCAGGCCTTCCACCATGCCATTCTGGTCTCAGTAGTGATACCTGGGTCTGTTGGTGAAGAAAACCACACGTATCACACTTCACGGTTAGCGAAACTGAGATTTGAAGGGGGTGGAGGGAGAAGAGAAAGAACGAAAGAAAAGTTCTTTTCAATAAACTTACCACAAGAAAATTGGAATAACTGTACTCCTCAGGAGGCTTATTTCCTCTGGAAGCTGCAAAATGTAACTGGCCTCTCTGTGCTGGGAACACACAGGTATAAACCATCCTTATCTACAAATTCCACGGGGCAACGCCCTCAGACATGACTCAACCTGTTTTTTCACATATGATCTCACAGGGAGAGATCAAGTTGCTTAATAAATGAGGCTTCCTTTGTGAGGAGCCCTACATTCAACCCCTTGACTAAAGCTCATTGTAATTTTTCCACTGCTTCTCCCCACACACACCCTTCCCCGCTAACATTTTGGCCTCTGGCACCAACACAATGTGCAAATTACAACCAGGTAATTTCTTGGCATAAAACTCCACTGAGACTTGGTGAGTTCTGCTACAACAGAATAAGCCACTCACTCATTATTACCGACTCTTTCTACCTCTGGAACACAGCAAAACAGGACTCTAGAAACTTAACAAGCCCTCCTCTACCTCCCTTCCTTCAAAAAAGCTTATTTAAAAAAAACAAACAAACAAACCCCAACCAACAAACACAGCCACACCCCACACCATACATGCCCTACATCTTACAGTAAAGCTCAATAAAGCAGCAGACTGTACAGAGACTTGGGAGGTCCCCCCAGTCCCATACCTAGACTTGCATGGCATCAGTCAAGAAGTATCTCTAGGCTAACATAGGACCAGCACATTTAAGGCTAACAACTTTCAGTAATGCCAACCCCAGCAAAGTTGTCATAGGGCTTGCACTAGCTGCTGTGACATGTTAAGGCTTAGGAGTACAGTGTGAATTTTTTTTTTTTTCCCCCTTTTTGTGTTTGTTTTAGAAAGAGCTGAACAGCTCTTAATGCTTTAATTTGGAGAAATGCTTCTGTGAAATCAGCCGAAATATCTTATGGTTGTAGCAATATTTTCCTGTCTAGACTTTTGTCAGAATCCACCCGTGCCAACTTTTATTTATTTATTGTAAATGGAAAGCTGCCCTGATGGAAACGTTCCCACCAGCTATATCTTAACCCTTGCTATATAGCAGCTTTGCCCCCTCTCACATTTACAGACCCACATGGGATGCTGGGTAAACACCAAACTATGGACCTCTCTTATTTCCTTCCCACACACGGCTATTTCACTTAACCCAGCAGGGTCCCCCATGGCCTGGGAAGCTGCCCTGGCTATTCCCAAGAGAACGAGTTGTGCCAGCTGCTCCTGCCTCAAACGCATCCATCATATGGCAAGTTGTGAAGGAGGAGGCATTACCCTTGGCATAAAAAGCATGCCGCTAGGGTCTGCACTGGCTTGGTTTCTAGCCATGTTTGACAGGCAAGTTTATCAACAGCACACAGCAAGGGGAGTTCATGAGCAGTCCTTCGTTCCTCCTCCTCCTCCTGGGGGTAAGGTGGATTTGCAAGCAGGGTGGATTTGCTTTTGCTGGATCCCATGGCTGTGCCTGGCTGGCTACATATGCTTTTTCCCTGTGTTGGGGTTTAATTGGGTCAGCTTGCCATGGACGTCAGCTTTCTTGAGGACTTCAAGGACAAAGAAGCCCTTCTAGACAGAAAATCAGAGTCACAGCAAACAGCTGTAGGTCACAGAGGGGAGCAGAGACCAAACCAGACAGAAAATGGGAAAAAGCCCAAGTGATCATTCTTGCCAGCATGAACTAAAAAGGCTGTGAAGGGACATAACAGGAGATTTTAATGCAGAGAAACACTGGCCAGATTTTAAGAAATCAATATGGATGGGCTAGGAAAGGTCTGGAGAACCTGAACCCTGCAGCAAGACTCAGCAGTGCTGCACAGTCTTACTACAGACCAGAGCAGTCAGCACTCACAGGCCAGTGGAGCAGGAGGCAGACACTACAGTCCAATATCCCTTTTGCTTGCGCAGATGCTGTTAAACTGAGCAGCTTTAAACATGAACAGACTCATCTTCACTACAGTTTTTGTCCCTCCCTTAACACACTCGCTGTGTATGTGAGGGAGCTTATCCATCATTCAGGTACTTTACTACTGTGTACCAGAGAGACACACACATCTTTTACAGCAGCAGTAAGCGATGTAAGGCACAACCTCACATATAGCTCGGTGATTACCCTCAGGAACATGCAAAACTTCAGAAGAGGGGCAGAAGATGATGCACAGGTTCTCCCAAGCCTCACTGTCTCACCCCCCACCAAGAGACCTTTTTTCATCTCAGGTAACACTCCATTTTGGAAAGTGAACTCCAAATGCACTAACAAGACTGTCAATAGAAACTCTGCCCAACATCCTATTGAAGTGGTTAGAACTTGACTCAGACAGTGATCCTGTTTGCTTGTACTGTGGGGTACTGTGCTACCCCACAAAATACAGTCATCTTTCAGCTATCTACAAAATGGTTACCTGGGCAGTAGGTCAATTGTGCTGTGGGTACAGACACCTGTAAAGTGTCTCCACAGTAAATCTTTCTCAAGCCTCATCTGCAGGCCTCCTCTAGGCTTTCAGAGAGCCCCTGCTCCTGCCAATATGGCCAGCACAGCCATCAGCCAGCAAGAGTGGGCAGAAACCTCCAGCAGAAGAAGCACATGCACCATAATCAGGTTTGGTTCGTGGGTTTTTAAACCATTTCGTCCAAATCAGTTTTCAGCTAGACAAAATGAAGAAGCTACCAGGGTATTTTGCTTTTCTTGACTCCGCCCTTGGGACTTTCCAAGCTTGAATCAGTGACATTGGAGCTGCCCCTGATATATACTCAACCAGTGTAAGGAAAGTTTTAAAAGAAATCACAAGCAAGATTTTGCTCAACCTTTTTCAAACCCCCAAAATATTTAAGGCACAAAGTAAAGGTGCTGATAGCCTTAAAAAGTGCATTACTGGCATTGCTTCACAAAGCTTTTGCCACCCATTAAGCTCTGACTACTCTGTTTTAGGTCAAATGAGAGCAGTCTAAAGGATACTCTGATTTAGACTGAGGGTGACTAAAGTCTTCTAGGGTACACAGGCAGCCCTCTTTTCCCCTTTCCCATCTGTAGGTTGGTAATGTCTGGCCCTGTGCCTGGCAAGTTTCAGGCCAGGAGCAGACTGCTTTGGAACATGAAAGCTTATGGAAACCAGGTTCTCAACTGCTCAGCAGTTTCACTTACTCCATGGCTTTCACCTCTATTAGAACTTTTTCAAGCCTAACAAGAACAGCACGGCCCATTGGTAATTTCACCCCAAAGTTTGTATTTGTTTGTTTTTTCAGCCAGGAACTTTGAAATCAAGTGGAATCACTCTGGAAACAACAGACCAAACACACAGATACTTTTATGCAAAGTGATAATCTGATGAATCATATAACATAACTACTTAAATTTGAGGAAATCAGAGCTCACCCCTCAGACCAAACAGGAGAGAGGTATTCTGTTACAAGGCTAAAAGCTTAATAACTTTCTCCAATCCAGCCTGTAAGTAATACCATGTAGAACTGTAGCTCTGATGAGGAGACGGTTCAGCAAACTGCAGAATTTTCTTGTATACATAAAAGAAATCACCAAACTCATGCAGTACTATGCTTTCCAGGCCTGGACACAACCTCCTTGCTTACAAGTCTTTTACCTCTACACGCATTATTAACAACATCTTTCATTGCCTTCCAGTGACTTACACCAGTTTCTTGCCCCAGCAGCTGCTGTGTTTGCAGACTGGCTTGCACTCTCTCACTGTGCAAACTACTCTAGTTTCATCCTGCATATTTTAAGGCATTGTGCAAACAAGTCCAGAGACCACTACCTTCTGCTTCTACTACTCCCCCTTTTTTTTTTTTTTTTTTTTTTCCCCTTTTATTCCTTATTAAATTGATTCAAGCA